TCCGTCAATGCTTTATCTTTATTCATCTTGAATGAATACAAATCTTGCTTCAAGTACAAAAAATTCACCAAGGACTTCGTCATATACAATCCTTTGAGTTTCAGCCAAACACCAACTACCATCGTCTCCTTCGAAACCTGTCTGAGAACCTTATCACCAAGACTCAGAACAATTGCATTGTGGGTTTCTCGATCATCATTGTCTTTTCCTTCTCCATTAATGCAGCATCTATATCATCTTCTCCCTTTAACGTTCTAGTCAACCTTGTTGAATAAGAAGGGCTCGTATCTTCAAACGCCATAAACTGAAATCATTAACTCTGGTGAACTTCTCAAATTCAAACTTTGTCAACGACATCTTCTCCATGCTCACCGCACTAGTTTGTTGTGATAAAAAATGATACCTTTCAACAAATCAAGATTGAGAAATGGAGTTATTGGGTGGACAATGAAAACGGTTAGAACAAAGTGAGAAAGAAGAGAGGATAAAGAAGAAAGAAGAAAGAAGAAGAAGGATTAGGGAAAATTGTTTACTATTCACTTTCTCATTTAGGATTTACAAATGAATAACAATTGACCTTACTCAACAATCTGAGTGATCTAGCATATTTATAGACTAACTAACTAACTTACAATACAAACTAACTAAACAATCGGGTCCTTAACACAAGGCCCAATTCGACATAATAAGTCAACAATATATATTTCGACATTACATACTAGAACTAGCTTCGACTACAATATATAACCCTTTGACATCAGCATGTGACCCAACTTCGACTTCATGCTTGTCTCCTGTCGAAGCACATGAAAGCTATTCCTTGACAGAGCTAGAGTTTGACCCAAAATCTCACAAAAATTGATTTTTTTTATAATTTAATCTCAAATTTCAAATATCACAATTCACCCCCTTATGTTTGGAGTCACTTGATCAACACTTTAAAATCTTAAAAATGAATATTCAATGCAATGTCATAATTTTCCTCATCAAACTCAGCCTCAAAATTAACTCCTCCATCTAATTCAACTTCAACATTAAGTCTCTCATCTAATCCAAACTCAATATTAAGTCTTTCATCAATATCTTCACTTATATTAGGCTTAAATTGATCAATATAATCTTCATGTCCAACCACATATTTATATTCTTTATACTTCTCTCCCTTATTAGGCCCAATACCATTTTTGTCACAAACATATCCAATTATGCATTAATGTGTATTCCCTACTGATGACAATTCATCATAGCATATTTTTAGTATTAATTTTCTTCATTTTTAAGTAATTTTTTTAAATTTTGTTCATGATTTTGGAGGTTTTAATAAAGATTTTGAAAAAGTGTGGAAAAAATAAATCAAAGTCAAAATTATCCTAACCATAAAAATTCAATGATATTTTATGTGAAAGTTACAAGGGCAAAGAAAAGAGAGGACTAACACATGGCAAATAGAAGAAAAAGAAGAGAAAATGCAAAAGAGCAATATAACAATGCTTCCATATCTTAAAGTCGTGTTATTTATGACACAAATGAGAAAGTGTCACTCCAAAGTCACAAGCAACACCACTTTGATCTTCTGTTAAGAAAAGTGGCACTCGCCAGCGCTAGAGTGCATGTGTCATTGATGATCACAAATTGCCAAGTCTGACCAATCACAAATAGTGGCACATTTTAGGTCGAGAGTGATGTGATTTTTCAATTTTTGAATTTTTTATGTATCATGTAAAACATGTTTAGTCATAAGGCTTCTAAATTTACAATGAAAAATAAAGGAAATAACTAACACATGAGAAACAAAAGAAAAAGAAGAGCATAGTTGGCAATGACATTAGTATTTTTCATAGAATGAAACCTTCGTGAGCTGCGACTTTTCCCCTTCAGGGTATCTAGACGAAGTATGTTAATTGACGATAAAATCGTAAGGTAACCATCTTCTTGTAAAAAAAAACTGATATAAGAAGACTCATTATAGGTTCAACTTGAGATTGACTACATAAAAGAGCAAAGTATTCGATTATAAGACTTAATCACTTTAATCATAAGATTTGTTAACCATTAGTTTAATTAACTAATTTATAGTCATTACATGACCAAATCAATTGTGCTATGTACACCTCCAATTACTTTATTATGTTTTTTTTCTAATGACAAGTACTCTCACATTTACTTTGTAGAAGTTCATGTAATCCTCGTGGATACAATATAAAACTTTACTCACCACTTATAATTTTTGTTGGCACAAATTATTACAAATGATTTCAACCCAACACCTACATTGACTTTATTGTATTTTTCCACTTCACTTGGCTTATTCTCCATATTCACATCTTTGAGCCCGTGGTCCATATTCGCGTCATTATGCCTATTTCCCATATTCACTTCATTGAGCCTACAACAATACAATAAATGTCATGAATATTTTCAATAATATTTCATCGTGATAATGGGTGTACAACATATAGATGCACTTTCCCATTCAATTTTTCAATGTTTTCCACCCTCTTTTTACCTAATTCATCTTGCAAGAAATTCATTTCAATCTTACCCATTGGATCATAAAACCACACATACTCTACTACTAGATAATTTAATTCATTCAAATTATCCTTAATTTCAACATAGGATGAATAAAAAATATCTCTAAAATACATAGTCTCAATCCCATAGTAATTTGAATGGTGAAATCGACTAAACTCTCCCCAATTCTCTATGGTCTAAGACACATCCAAATTTACTCGCAATCCCTTACAAGTTCAAAATAAAAATAATGTCCTAATAAATATGTAATGAACAAAAATATATTAAATTGAGTAGAGAGAAAACCTAAAATGAAAAATTTAAGAAATAAAAGAAGCTAATACACAGAACAAAAAATTGATTAACAAACTTGCAACTTGGATGATGATAGTCGTCTTTCTACCGTCTCCCTTTCGTACTCTTGAAGTACGATTCATTCTCACGAATTCTAAAGTCAATATCTTACGATGTTAAGACAATGTGAGAAGATCACTATGTATTTTTTAGTCACTATTGGCCAAGTCAAAAGTCACTTGCCATATCATATGACACATGTACAAAAATAATAATTTTTTTCTAAAAACTAATATAAAGAACTAACTTATCTAAAATTCAATGAAGTGTAAAAAAAATCTATAAATTAATAAAAATAATCTACAAGCTTGTGAGAAAATAACATTTTTTTAAAAATACTTTTAAAATATATGAGCTTATAAGTTATAGGTATAAGATATAAACTCAAAATATGAGATTATCAAACACAACCTTATGATACATATTATGCTAGAGAGAAGAGGAATATATATTGCATTCGATATATTTTTGCCATTCAATGTGTAAATTGAGGGTATTGTTGTAGTTTGTGCTGTAATATTTAAATACAAGATGATGAGTATTAACACAAAAATACAATAACTAAAAATCAGAGGATATAAAATCCCAACTTACAAAAATTTATGAGGAGCAACAATAAATATACGACAACAAATATAATAATTTAAAGTGAATAAGTAACACCAAATCTTTAATGTGGAAAACCCCTCAAAGCAAGGGTAAAAACCACGGGTCATCCATAAAATTATGTTACATGATAACATCAAAATAATGCACAAATAGTTCCAACAACTAGGAAAAACAACAAACCATAAAAGCTTACATGTGAGAATTATAAGACAAAGAATCCCTAAAAAACCTGGTGCAGTGCGAATATGATATCTCTATGCTTATACATTTCTTCGATAATTTAAGCGGTAAAAGTGTAAAACCATGTTTCACAAACCTCTTGTTCAAATATTAGCTCGATCCAACAGTCAAGGAATTAAAATTTTCTATTTTTATAAAATTAAATTGAGAAAAACGGGAATAGGGTTTCTCGCTTCTTTTCTCATCTGGGCTGATTTTCTCCTTTCATTTCTCTCTATGTTCTCACCCTAGAATGATCATATCCACTTAATATGAGTGATACATAATGGACTAGCGTATTTGGGCTTTTCTAATATATATATATATATATATATATATATATATATATATATATATATATATATATATATATATATATATATATATATATATATATATATATATATATATATATATATATATATATATATATATATATATATATATATATATATATATATATATATATATATATATATATATATATATATATATATATATATATATATATATATATATATATATATATATATATATATATATATATATATATATATATATATATATATATATATATATATATATATATATATATATATATATATATATATATATATATATATATATATATATATATATATATATATATATATATATATATATATATATATATATATATATATATATATATATATATATATATATATATATATATATATATATATATATATATATATATATATATATATATATATATATATATATATATATATATATATATATATATAAGGCAGCACAATGCCTAACATATCCCCCTTTCATAACTATGAGGACGTACACTATGCCAAAAAAGACCTTTAGCAGCGCTTTTTTTGGCCTTTAACAGCGCTGCTAAAGGTAAAGACAACGCTTTTTTTAAAGAAAAAGCGCTGCTAAAGGATCCCTTCAGCAACGCTTTTAGCAGCGCTTTTTTCACCCTATAGCAGCGCTTTAAAAGCGTTGCCTATTCCCCCTTTCCCTCCCTTCAGCAACGCTTTTAGCAGCGCTTTTTTAATCCTATAGCAGCTCTTTTCCCTCCCCCCTTTAGCAGCGCTTTTTCTTTAAATATTTTAAATAGTTTTATCAAGTAGAACCACTATAACAGTCAAACATGGGAAAATATACCTCCACTCTGATCCAGCTGATGTTGCTAGCCTTCCTTTTTGGCACTGTTGCATCTCTTTGTGCTCTGAATATTTGTATAACTCTAACATAATATAAACGCATATTTAGAACAATGTCACATAATAAATAAAGATACATAACTAAAGATCTATAATATGATTCCTGTCCTGACTTGCTATCTCATTTGGCACCACATTTTTCTCTTTTTCAACTGCCTTTTTTTCTTTTTCAACTTTTTCTTTTTCAAATTTGACAGTAGTGTTTAGATGCATCATTGGTGATATTGGCCTTGGAGCTCCTGTTTTTGTTTCAAATGCTCGGACACAAATGTATCCTGTATAAAATATAAGTAGACATTACATATTATGTTCTTAGAATCAAATAGGAATTTATACAAAACCAAACGATATATTATTTTCTTACCTTCGTTAAAGAATTCTCTAACCTTTTCCGCTGACATACCTGCATTGATATTTGATATAATAGTCCTATTCGTGCCAAAATAAAATAATACTAAAAACACGGTATCTCATTTGAATCATTTACCTCTTGTAATGGCCGATGTCCCGGTACCAAAATATGTTATTTGTTTCGTTAGAGACCATAACAACCTTCTAGGAACATTAATCGGTTTTATCATTGATGCAAAGTCAACAAAAACCTATACAAAAAATTGACAACAAAAACTTTTCAAGACATTATGTACTTAATGAGTCAAACCAGCACTAGTTTCGATTATTTACCTCATTAATTTGAAAGTATGTTCCGTTCAGGGGAAAATACCCCTTCATTGCAGTTCGGCATGGTATCTGTTACATAAATTATTATTCAATCTATAACTCTCTGATTTGTATAAGAAATGAAAATCAAAATGCAACCATAGTTTCATTGTTTAATAACTCACCAGAAGTGTTCCAGGAACTGTTTGATTTTTATCTTCCTCTTGCAATTCAGATGCATTTGATTCACCCGAGCTTTCTAATTCTGCTATTTAAGAATACACAAAGTAGATATTTGTGCTTAGTACTTTTAAAAAAAAATACAATTTTCTTTTAAATAATATTCAATGTATCATGTATGAATACTTTGTAGTTAAAAGTTATAATACAAGATATATTCATCAATCATATTACCAATTATGCTTAATATATGTAAAAAAATGACTAAGCTTATAAAAAGATGAAGACAGTACCTTGTAGCCATTCCATTAGAAGATAAGGGGAAGGATCGTCATGAACACGTGGAGCATGCTGTAAAAAAAAGAGAAACATGAGTCTATATATTTTTACTAACATATTAATTTATACTATTTTGGTAAATTAAATGTTACTAAATTAGCAAGACGGTACAAAATGCAAATCTTCCCACATAATATTATTAATACTCAATATACTTGAGAAAAATTGACTATAACAGGAAGAATATGTGCCACACAATCTTGAGGCTCCAACAATTTTCCAAGAGCTGCACAATCCTCAACAGCAAGAAGCCGAACAGAATCTTGATCTACAAGAACAAGAGTCAATAAGTAATAATTTTCACTTCAATAAATGAGCATAACAAACAAAAATTATATTCACTTCAAGATTAACAGATGCTTAAAGCTTTCATCTGAATCACAAATAGTGTGAAGTTTCAATAATAAAAATTAAAGTTTCAATACCATTATCAGATATAATTTTGTTATTTGAATAAACTTGTGTGTCAACTTTTCTTATAACAACAAATTTAAATTAGAAGAGACACACTCATTAATCATATTAAGAATTTACGTATACTATATGAATTTTATACTTGAATGTAAGACAAAATTGATGTAAGCAGAAAATTAACAATGTTAGTCAACCGCAATCAGTCAATATCAACTTATAAGGCTATATGTTTATAATTCATATTATAAATCTAAAATTCGACACAATTGATCAAATAAATAGATATAAATAATTCTTAATACTAATATGTAATTTACTTTCACAATTTTCTTCATGTTTTGGAAGAAAAAAAATGTTGTAATTTGTAAACACATTCTTTATAATCATAAATACAATCCTAGCTGTTTTTCATCATCATCATCATCACAGAAAGATTTACATACATATATCTAATTTATCAGAATGTCAATTTCAAATAAGATTTGTAGGCAACAATAATAAAAATTATTAGTAAAAAGAACTTATATAAAGTGTGGCATTTCAACAAACACCTTGTATACGGCTAGATATAATGAAAGTTAACATAAGTAAATTCATTGTGCCATTTCAACAAACACCTTGTATACAAAACTCAAGCCAATATCAAAAGAGTAGTTCTCATCAACGGTATCAACAAAAACAAGTCAATAACTCAGAAAAGAAGTAACACTAACATCATATAATCCAGAAAAATGAAAAATGAAAAACTTCAAATACCGTAACAATGGCGGAAATGCGCTACAGAGGCTGTCGAAAACGGACGGTCAAATGAAGGAGATATGCAACACAGGCTGAACGGAGGTGAGCGACAGAGGAACGACAGTTGGACGGAGGAGGGCGACGGCCGGACGTGGTGAATAGGGTTCTGGTTCGCTGAGAAGAGAAAGAAAGAATGAAGAACGCGCGAGCTAGCAATGTGTTATGTTTCTTTAAAAAATTCTGTGATATTTTAATTTAATTATAATAACACCTATGGCAGCGCTTTTTAATACCTACAGCAGCGCTTCTCAAAGCGCTTTCTTTTCTAAACCATATAGCAGCGCTTCACAAGTAAAGCGCTTTCTTTAAAATTCTGTGATATTTTATTTTAATAATAACACCTATGGCAGCGCTTTTTAATACCTACAGCAGCGCTTCAAAAGCGCTGCCTTAGCCCATGGATATAGCAGCGCTTTACATGCAAAACTCTTTCTTTGGCACACACCTACAGCAGCGCTTTACAAAAGCGCTTTCTTTGGCACACCCTACAACAGCGCTTTAGAAAAGCGTTGTCTTAGCCCATGCCTTTAGCAACCCTTTAGCAGCGCTTTTCCTAAAAGCGCTGTCATAAGTATGCTGTTTTTTTTCTTTTTTTTATTACATTGTAGCAGCGCTTATCAAAAAGCGTTGTCTTTGGTAGGCAATTTTTTTTTCTTTTTTTTAATGACTCTTTAGCAGCGCTTTTTTAAAAAGCGTTGTCTTTGTATGTGCGGCTAAAAGTCAATTCTGTTGTAGTGGTAATCACCAACCGACAATATCATAACAAGTTTAAAACTCCCCTCTTGATAGTGTTTTAGTCATCATATCATACTCATTATCATAAATATGAAATTTAACTAACTCCAACAACTTAGCATCCAAAACATCAGATATTCAATAATACCTCACATCAATGTGTCTAGCTCTACTATGAAAAGTTGAATTTTTACCAAGATGAATATATTTTGACGATTAATAAATATCACATATTTGTCTTGAACTCCCCTTACTAGTTTAATCATGTAGCATGAAGTAGACTTTCTGGAATCAATGTCTCCAGCCATATTTGAGTCGGAATACTCCACCAAAAGAGGTTTTTTACTTTCAAAACAAAGTCCCATACAAATTGTACCACAAATATACCTTAAAATTCACTTTAAAGAATTCCATTGCTCTCTACCTAGATTTGACAAAAATGACTGATTATACCAACAATATGTGCAATATTTGGCCTTGTACACACCATTACATACATCAAGCTACCCATAGAAGACGCATAAGAAACTCATTCCATATCTATTTTCCATTTTCACTATAAGGACTTTGTTTAAAACTCAATTTAAAATGGGTAAGAAGAGGATTGCTTATCGCCTACAAATTTTCCATCTGAAATCTCTGCAACACTCTTCGAATATAATGTTTTTAAGTGTGACATATAAAGTTTCTTCTACTTTCTGTCAAGCATAATTCTTATACCAATAGTCTGTTTAGTTGCTCACATGTCTTTTATATAAAAAGATTCATTGAACTACTTCTTTAACCTGTCAACCTGTAAAATATATTTACCAAAAATAAGCATGTCCTCAACATATAGTAGCAGTATAATAAAATCAACATTAAAAATTTTATAACAAGGACACAATGTTTATAATAGTCTTCATGTATTCTTGGTCAGATATAACACACAAAATTTTTTGTACCACTGCTTTGGAGGTTGCTTCAAACCATATACACTTTTTCTAAGTCTACAGACATAGTTTTCCTTGCCTTCAACAAGAAAACCATCAAGTTGTTTCATATAAATTTCTTCCACCAAATTACCATGAAGGAAGGATGTTTCACATCCATTTGCTATACCTATAAATCAAGAGTATCTTCCAAACTCAACATTATTCTAATCAATGACATTTTTATCACGGGTGAGAACATCTCATTAAAATTAACACAGTTTCTCTAACAGAATCCTTTCACCACCAATAACATTTATACTTCCAATATTTGTAGTTACTTTCATGTTTCACTCTATAGATCCACCTATTTTTTAAATCCCTTTTTTTGGAAACCTCATCAAATTGTATGTGTAATTATCATGCAAAGATTTTGTATCATCGTTCATTACATCCAACCATTTTTCCTTTTCTTCACTTTGCATGGCCTCTTGAAAACATTCAGGTTCTCCTTAATTATTCAAAGTTGCATATACATTAGCATACCTTGTATAAGGCTTCACTAACCTATTGGACCTCGTTTGTTGTGATTGAGATGATTCAGAAACATCATTTGGATTTTCATCCTTTGACGTCTCATGTTCCCGACTCTTATCACCACCTAGTCGAATATTTGATTCATCTCCAAATTTTTGATCACCAACATAATCATGTGGCTCACTATACAAAACATCGCCATCAATATTATTTGGATTAGGAACAAGTAACCAAACTGTATCAACATCATACATGGTGTTATCTTTCTCATGCGTAGTACTTTTCACCACCTTATCAATGTCTTCAACAATTTGGTCTTCAATGAACACTACGTGTGATTTCTAATGAGATTTTCATTTATATGATCGTACAACCTATAACCAAATTCATCTTGGTCATAACCGATGAAGATACAATGCTTTGACTTTATGTTCAACCTGGATCTTTCATCCTTTGGAACATGCATAAAAGCCTTACAACAACAAAAAAATCTTAAATCACCATAATTGGAATTCTTTACAAAGAAAATTTGTTTTTGGAACCTCAATATTCAAAGCCATAGTAGGAGTAAGACTAAGAACACATGCCTCCATGTATAAAGCCTCACCCTCATAATATTTAAGAAACTTGGATTCAGAGATCTACATCTCACTCTTGCAACTAGTGCTTGATTAATCCTTTATGTTAAACCATTCAACCTAGGAGTTTTGGGAGGATTCTTTTCACATGCAATACCATGCTACTTGATATATACATCAAATGGTCCACAATACCCACCATCATTTTTAGTCCCAACATGTTTAAACTTCTTACTTCCCTGCCTTTCAACCAAAGCATGAAATTTATTGAAAATTTCCAAGAATTTGTCTTTTATATTCAAAGCATAAGCCAATACTTTTTTTGGAACATTCATCAAGAAAGTAAAAAAAAATTAAACACCACTAAATTATTTTACTTTTAAAATGAGATTAACATTAGAATGGACCAATGAAAGCAACTATGAATTCCTTAAGGGGTGTGTCTTTTGAAGGATACTCTAGTATGTTTACCAACCATGCAATGAGAATATTTCTCAAAATATGCCTTTTTCAATCCTAGAAGCACATCCTTTCGACATAAACAATTCATCCCTTTCTCACTAATATGGCTAAGCCATCAGTTCCACAAATATGATTACATATCAATAACATCTACAATGTCTTTAGAAACCAAAGCTTTTGTCCAATTGAATTTTTAAATTTTTTCCCATATAGCCACAACCAAGTTTCCTTTTTTGATTTTCAACTTTCCAAAAGCAAAGTCATTATAAAACCACCATCATAAACCAAATGCACAAATATCAAATTAAAGCAAACATTTGGAGCATGCTTAACTTCTTTAAGCAACAACTGCATACCCATGTTAGTTTGTGAAAAAACATCACCAACACCAATTAATTTAGATACACCATCATTAGCTATATTTGATACTCCAAATTCACATGAAGTATAAGATGTAAATAAATAATTCCTTGGTGCAATATGTATTATAGCACCATTATCAATTATTCACGTGCTCTTGTCATATACAAGATTA